CGGCCCCCTCGCCGAGAGGCCACCCGGCTCTGGCAGCGCCGGCCCTGAGGACCGAGCCCCGCCGCCCGCGGCCCTCACCGTGTCTCCGGCGCAGCTGGCGGGCGCACACACGCTGCAGCTCCGGCCCGCCACCAGCGCTCCGCGCCGCCCGGAGACGCCTCCTTCAGCCCGGGACTCGCCGGGACATCCGCGCACGGATCCCCACACCGGGGCTATTTTTAGGAGCCAGGCCTGGGCCAGACCGGAACTCGTTCCTGCCCGCGCGCGTGCGCACTGCTCAGAAGTCCTCGGTGTCCCTCCGCCAGCCTCGCCTTTCCGTCCTTTCCCCTCGGCTCCCCGTCCCGTTTTCTCCCGCACGGTTTCTTGTCAGAGCCGCTTTCTCCCCGGGGTGGGCCCCGGAGTACTTGGGATGGGAAAGACAAGGGCGCGGGCTGAGAGAGGCACCGCGATTGGAAGTGAGCGCGGCTCCACAAGGACGTGAGGGGCGGACTATGTTTTTCCGGGTGGGTGAGGAGATGGATCATCCGGCACAGGAAGGAGCTGACGGCGGTTAGGCGCCGGGGCTCCGGGCCGGAGCTCGCTTCCCTCGGAGGGACCGTGTTCTCCTGGAAGGGATACTGGTCACTTGATGAGGCCGGAGCACCTCCCAGGGCGGGGCGGCCTTGCGGCATAGCGCCCGGCCGCCCACGCCTCCCCGGACGCCGCCTCCCTGACCATCCCGCGGGGGCCGGGGCCGGGCTGGTGACGCCGCGCGTGGCAAGTCGCCGCGCGTGGCCGCGGGCGACCGCCAACCTGGGGCCCCGGGGGCGGGGCCGGGGCTCCGGGGCGCGCGGGCTCGGTGGGATCCTGGAGTGCGGGGCCGGACGGCTTCCTCCGGGAGGGCCCAGACGCCCCCTGCCGGGCCCGCGCGGGGTCGGGGCCAGCCCCCCCTCTCCGGGCACACTCGGCCTCCCCGGACCTCGGCTCGCCGCGCCCGCGCCCGCGCCCACGCCCTGCTTGTGGTCAAGGCCGCACCTGTGCTCGCGCCTGGGCGGCCGCCAGGTCACCCTCGTTGAGCAATCATAATGATACCCCGGCCCCTGGCGCGGGGACTGGGGCTCCGGCCCGGAGAGGGCAGGACTCGGAGGGGCCTGGAAGGCATGCGACCCCCTTGAGGCTGTCCAGCCAAGCTCCCCGCGTCCTGGGAGAGACGCGACCTCCTAATCTTGACTCTTAGTAATCACTAATGACTCACAGGCATCGCTAGTATGCCTTGAGCACTAAACTGCAACGTATGCCCAACATTTTGCATACTACAGCTCCTATAGTCCTTACAACATCTCCAGCCAAGTAGATGCAGTTTCTATTCCCATTTTACGGACTAGGAGACGGAAGCTGAACTGCTCAAGTGGCCTTTTGAGGTCACAGAGCTTAAGAGGAGGGCACTGAGGACTTGAACTCCTAACCACTCTGTATACTGCCTTTTCTGAGAGGTGCAAAGACGATGTGCTTGGGAACAGCTGTTCTGTTTTGTGGGGTTACTGGTTTTTGTCGAGGGAGGTCATTAGGCGGTGAGCCACTGGTCCTTGGATCCTGCAGGCTGCTCACCTCTGCAGAGCTTCTAGGGCCACACTGCCTACAACGGCACCCCCTATGCAATGGACACAAAGCCACGTACTTATTTTCATTTGAGAATGAGAAATTCGGCCCCACAGCACTTTAAAACGAAGTGATTGGGATGGTGAGAAGACGTACAGGCTGTGGGCAGAGGAACTGGGAAGTTAAAGGAAGCTGGAGGCTCGCAGGCTTCCTCCCTCAAGGACGAGGCAATGTACTGGGGAAAACCCAACTCGAAAGCTGTGCATAAACACCAGGCCCTGGAAAATAAACCTGGAGTGCTGCTCAGAGCCCTCTTTCCCCCGCCCCCTCCAATGTCAGGGTCAGAGGAGCCAGCAGCAGGGACTCAGGGAGGTTTTTGAACCACATTAAAATTTGGTGTAACTCAGCAAGTCATGTGGAAATGCATGCTTTTTAACCTGCCAGAAGCTGTAAAACCAGCTTGATTTGTCTTCTCTGCTCCAGGAAAGTAAAGAGTTTGACACTTTTCCTTCAAAGCCCAGGGTCTGAGGTGGGGGTGGGGGGGGCTCAGTGAGCATTGGCTCCCTCATTCCCACCTGCCCTTCACCCTGGAAGGAGAAAAGGGGCGATGAGAACACACTTCCAAAAGAGGTTTTCACACTTGCAGGGTTCCCCTCCATCTCCCACCTTTGCAAAAGCTGACTCTTGGGGCACAAAAGACAGCTCTGACTGACCACCCGCTACCCATTCAAATGCTGTTGGTCACTCCAGAAAGCCAGGCAGAGTCCAGCCAAAACAGAAATGAACAGTGTTTGCATCCCCTAAGAGAGCACACCCCTCCCTCCCCTGCGTGTCAAAGCACTTGTCTAAGAATTGCAGGGAGTGGTAGGAAGGAAGGAAGAAAGAGTAATCTTAAGAATTTGAGAGCACAACTATTGTCAAATCCATTAGCAAAACATAATCACTCTTATTTGTAACTAAAGTAACCAGTCTTAGGATGTCATCAGGTCCTGAAAACGTACCTGAACTCTGGTGTCTTCTTCACCTTCAGGTGCTCAGAGAGGATCAAGTGCTGGGATATGGTGGGAGATGAGCCTGGAGGAGTGACCAGGAAAGGGGCGGTAAAGAACCGTAACACATCAAGCCAGGCTGCTTGGATTTCTTGCACAAAGCAGTGGGAAGCCACTGACAGATCAGATTTTAAGCAGGTAAAAAGCTTGATCTATTAGGTATTTTCTATAAGGCAGAAGTTGGGGGGCGGGGGTGGGGGCGGTGGCAGGGAGCAAGACTGGAGGCAGGACAGCCAGTTAGGAGGTACTCATGATGTAGCCACTGCTGTCAGAACTGCACCCCACACACACTTGAAGAACTGCCCAGACTGTCTCCATACATGCTGATGACTTCCTGTGTGTCTCTGTTGAGGACATGCTCTGGCCCCAGAAGAGGGCTTAGGTCAGTACATAATACCCCAGCTTCCTCATGCCTAATTCTGAGGCATGTTCCCCAAAGCCTGGGGGGGGGAGGGGGAGGGAGGAAGGGAGTGTCCAAGTGGATTGGCCCCCAGTTGCTCTCTGTGGTGATTCATTCATTTGCACACTTTTTATTCTCCCCTTTCTTCCCCTATCTCGCTTCCCCTCTCCCTCACAGCACTTCCCAGGATCGCCTCCCAAATAAAATACTTGCACCAAAATCCTTGTTTCGGGGTTTGCTTTTCAGAGGACCTATTTAAGACAGATGGTAACTGAGATAAGGAAGAAAGAGGACCTGAATTAAGACAGTTGCCTGATGGTAAAGAGAGCAGGAGAAAAACATAGGGATAATTAGAAGGTAGAATTGACTGGCTTGCTAACCATTGAATCTGGGGTTAGGGACAATAATGGAGTTTCAGCTGCCCCCTGCCCCAGGTGTCTGGTTTGGGCTCCTGGGTGGATAATAGCAGCATCAGGTAATTGGAGAACACTGGAGGAAGATGAGGTTGATGAGAACTGGATGAGGGCAGTCTGACGAGTTACATCTGCTCACGTTGAATTTGAGATGCCTGTGGGACAAAATAGCCTTAGCCCTGTGGGGTTGGAAAAAGATACAACTAGATGAGACTGGATGATTTAGAGAGGGTTTGTCAAAGGAGAAATTGAAGCTGAATTTTGAAATTGAGGTATATGGCCCAGAGGGAAAGTGAAATGACTTAGCAGGAATATGACAATGAGAGGGATTAACAGTAAAAAGAATGGATTCATAGAAAGAAAAATTAACTTTACCCAAACCAGGGACAACTAAGTGATTGGGGTAAAAATAAATAAATAAATAAATAAATAAATAAATAAATAAATAAATAAATAAATAAATAAAAGAGCCTCAAAGAGGTTTTAACTTGTGAGCTGCTCAAACATAGGAATCATACCATGTTATGCTCAATCTGTGTTCCCAATACTTACACAAAATTGATCATTATTAAATATGGTGTGGCCCAGGCTAAGTGTCTCAGTACATATTTTTCATGATGTCTCAATCTTATATGAGTATAAACAATTAAAAATTGAAGGTTTTAAGTGTGACCCCAAATTAGCAACTTCTCCAAATTTAACTTTGTGTAAGGACTTGTGTCTTGTTGAGAAATATCACGTATAAGAGAAACCACATCTACTTATAAGATGACTTACTTGTAAATCTGATCTAAGGACTTGTAAATATTTCAGAAAATCAAAAACATGTTACATTAAACCTGAAGGTAAAAACATAATCCACTTTGCACTGTCCATTGTAAGTTCTTTAGAACTTAAATCACTAATGTGCGTGTGTAAGAGTCATTTTGTGCATTCCTTTTCTATTGCAAATTCCATGATAAACACCCAGATCTAAATGCCATTTTCCAATAAAGGGAACCAGGGCTCCTTTAAGTAATGGTTGATTCCAGGACTGGGGAAGAAAAAAAAACGAGATAAACTTATGGTGCCAGAAAGCGAGGAAGTACTTGAAAAATGATAAGGACAAATCAAAGGAACACGGCACCAACCTGAAAGAGCTACCAGTGACCAAAGTTGGAACAATTTGAGCAACAAGATAAATAATGCTACTATTGGGTTATAACCCACAGAATTAAATAAATATCCATAAGTCCATACTGACAAATAATTGAACAAATAAATAAATTGGGAGAGAAAGTACAGATCTTGCTTCCAGGAGAATTCCAGTAGAAAAATGTAGAAGACATGAGGGCAATACAAAAATCACCATTAGATAAACACCTTAGTTATAATAATAACTGTTGCAGGCAAGAAATATCAATGAATGCAAACATTAGTGAATAAAGAAATGATGACAAACAGGACAAGTGCACAGTCTCAAGGTTGCTCCTTACAAGGTATTTGTTCATTACAAAGAGAAAATAGTAACTTTACAGTAGAGAAACCCAGCTGACACCCCATGGCCAAATGAACAAAACCAGCATCACCAATAACAAAATATATCGACACCATGTACTTCATGATATGATTCAATGAAAAAGGCCTGTCCCTTCTTTGGTATTCCTGCCAAAAATGTATTGGCTGAAGCTAATCCTGAGAAAACATCAGACAAACCCAACTTGAGGGACATTCTACAAAATAACTGACCAGCAATCATCAAAAGTGGCCAGACCATGGGCCGGCCGATGGTTAAGAACTGGCTTGGG